TTGTCGAAAAAGGCTTCGATTTTCGTTTGAGAATCTATACGGTTAGGCTTCCGTGGCGGTGAAAGAACCGCTGTCTCCCCACGCCAAATCTAATTGTATCTATCAGTTCAAGTGTGGATGCTCGGCTATCTACATCGGCAGAACGGAGAAACAACTGCGTTATCGAGTAACCGAGCACATCCCGGTCTGGCTTCAGAAAGCAATAAGTGGAAACTTCGGAAGTATGAGGTTACCAATGACGCGTAGGAAACTCAGTTCGTCGATCACACAACACCTGGTCGAAATGAAACACTGTGTCATGCTGCGTGATGCGTTCAGAATCCTCTACAACACAAACAACACCAAGGTTCTGAAATACGCCGAGGCACTAGCCATTCAAAATTACCATCCCAAACTATGTAAACAGCGTGAATGACTTATCACTCTGGCGCCACCTTGGTAACAAATGTGTTTGGTGAGTAATTTTGACCGCAATCTTTCTCCGCCTATGATTCTGTTATTTACTGACCATATATTAATGGTCACATAGACTGCAGTATGCACGTGTACAGATGCAGCGAAATGAGTATTCATTGTTTGGATCGGTCACCAACTTACCTAGGAGATGACGCACTTTCTTCATCCGACGTTGTGGGTAGAGAAGAGGATGACGATGAATTTCCCGAAATCGCGTCAGGACCAGATATAGCCTCATGAACAATCGTACGATCGGAACGTTTGTTGGCCCCATACTGACAACCAAACGCAAGAACATGTGGCCACAATGCTCGGACTACGGCCGGGCGGTCGATCGTATTGGGCTTGGGAGTGCGACGAAGCAGAATTTGCGCAAGCCCGTTTAGGCACGACAAGACGACCTGGCGAACAGTCTTTTAATGGGCAAAGTAGGAAATAGTAAGGGAATATTGTTCGATAAAACTATACTGATGGTAAAGGAACCATAAGAACCACAAGTAGGACATGAAGTGCACTGTCGAATGAGGAGAATGCATTCGGATATGGCGTTCATACGTTTCCGGTGGGAAACGGAGCGTTTAAAGATGTATAAAAGAACAAATGTAGGATAAACTTCGGAGTTGCCTTAGAATCTGAACATTATACAGCGTATCATTTAGCACTTTGATCAAAATAAAACGGAAAACGTACGACGCAAGCTTGTGCCTCGCTTACACCTAGTGACAATCAGGAAAGGATATGATCGCACAACCTCCTAATTGCTACAGGCATACGATCTCAAGAACTTTGACTCCGCTACTGGCACGGACTCCTTTTTTGTTCTTCTTTCTCATTATTACTAATGTTTTGTCGTTCCATAGGTATCTATATATGATCGACCTGACCGAGTTTCTTGGTTACGGTTTTCACGCCCTTATGCCGGGACTTAGTTATACTGTCTGTTCTTTGTCCATCCATTGCCTGTGGCGCGCGCATCGTGGTAGTTTATTTGATAGTATGCGAAACACATGACGTAAACCACTTAGTCTATGGAGGTTGAACACTTGTTCCAGTAACTGATCGCGATTACCTACAACTCTGAGCCTTTACTTGACACTGCCTGCTCGGTTGTCCAGTTTCCGTAATGGCCAAAACTCTGCCCTAGAAAGGAGCACTGGCCGAACTGCTGCAGTATATACTCCCCTATTCACAGACAGACGATTTTCGCGACGGCTCCACAGATGTATCAATTTGGCAAATGTCAATCGAGCCTTCTGTAGGTGTGCCGACAACTTATTTGTGATAATCTGTCTGGGTGAAATATAGCCTCCCAAGTGTCAAAATAATTTGTCCACTTTCTCTATTACCCAATCCTTCACACTTGTAAAACGTACACCACATGGCTGCACTAACAATCAAACCATCCATAAAAACTTGAAAGTTACTTTAGTCTTGCCTTAACAGTACAACGTCAACTGCATACTTAGAATCAGACAGTCTGCCACCTGAGCGCAAGTCAATGCCATTATCCTCGTATAACGGCAATGCTGTTTCCAGAATCGAAGCTGTAAAGAAGTTAAAAAGTTAAAGGGGAGAGAGAGTTAAACCCTGATAAACACAGCTTCTGTGGTGACCTCGGGCGACAAAGTGTCGTAAACTCCAACACGGCTTGGGCTATTAGTGTAAAGGAATAATACTACTGAAATAAACTTCTCGGGCACACTCTTTAGATAAAGACAGCGCCAGAGTACAGAGTATAGCCCAAGGCCACGTACAGATCGAAAGAGAAAAATAAACCGTTGGGTCTACGAAAGGAATATTTGTCAGCTACAGTTTGGATAAGAGAGAAAACATGGTCGATACAAACTCAACCAGGTTCTCAAGCGTGCACCTTTCGTGTGCGCCAGACAACCGACGAAGTATAATACCGTCGAGAAGTTTGTCGGCAATGTTGATCAAACTAATTTCTTTGTGAATTTCATCGCTTTTCTATCAATTTTCTTTTAATTTAGTAAGATGATCGACTCACGCCATTCATTTCAGACCTGTTTTTCCCCATAATTAAACCGGAAGTTTCGTCAGTTCCAATAAGAAGGCTGAGACTCTAAATTTAAAAGCCGACAGGGATAACCCATTCAGGTTGAAGGGCTAACACCATTTGAGGTAACCTGTTTTCCGAGTAAACTCCATTTACCGAGGACTGATATAAGCTGGCAGTATTTACTCAGTTGAGTCGACAAGTCTACTGTCGATGGGGGGCGGGGCAACCAAACTGAACTTCGAAGTATTTTGCCTGTCGTTCAAGATGCCGCTGCTGAACATGAATTATTGTGCACCAAATTCCCTGGTTAAACAATTTACACCTACTTGCCGTGGGCTCATAATCCTGATTAGACCGAAAAGATAGTCTCCGATGGTAGCAGCCTTCTCCACCTCTAGACGTTCGACTATCACTTCTACTTGTTTTGTATGACGTATTTTCTCCGGAAAACAGGAACACGGTTTATGTATCATTTTCCATTTAGAGTATCAATCCCCTGTGTGGCCGTTCGAGACATAATCGACATTCACTCAATTTGTAAATGTACAGAAAAAATTCAAACAAAAAACAGTGTTCTTTTCTTGTCTTGCATGAACTGCATCAAAATAAGTAATTGCTTACTATAGAACGATCTGTGTCCGACGCTTGAGATGAAGCTTTTAAAATATATGGGTCGCAGCGTCGAAGTCCGTCCACAAAAGCATTTAATAACGATTCATACAGTGAAGGACTTTGAAGGAGGAAATCCGTTGTGATATTCTGACTCAAAGCCTCATGCTGTGTCTCGGAACGTTCTTGTAATTTATCCCAAACCGAATGTACATAGGACAAATGCGAAAGAGTGACGTATATGGTGACCGACTGAAGAGGATCTAAAGCGGTACGCCGGTTTTGAAGTTCACCAACTAATTGTTCCACAAGGCTCGACAGAACTTCAGCGTCGACTTCGTTTATGTTTCCTGGAAGATAAGTAAATAAATATTTCACGCCATGTTACAACAAATGATACCACAGAGAATAAAATCAGAACTGAAAACGAGCCTATTCATGGGATCAAAACGGTGAGTTACGGATTTAGAAGAGACTTCGGACACCCAGAGCTACAATGATCGTTTGATTGCCAATGTATGCGTACAGTCTAAACCTTGGAGCCGAGAGTACTCAATCACCCAAGGAGCGAAAAGTGTTACGTTGCGAGGAATTCGATTAGTTTTCATGTGGTTCACCAATTCAGGTCCTCGAACTTTGGCCTCGGTTTCCATAACTGAACAGCAGGTCATTTTCGATTCATGAATTTTACTCTTTCTCCTGACTATCATGGCATGTTGCGCAATAAAAATGTTAGTGTTTATTTTATGAACAGGACAACGAGAATTTCACGATTGTTTCCTCGTGTACTTCGAAGGAATACTTTTCCGTTTCAAGGTAAGGCCGCAGTCGAGTAACTACGATGAAAACTAAAGCGAGAAGCAGCCTGAATTATTTTATTTCGCACTTTTTTGACAGTACCCAATTTCAGAAAAACTGTGCAACATGTCAAAATACAATTTGGTATATACCCTACCCTCCTCATTTAGCTTAAATCTCAATCAGTTTGGGGTCAGCCGGCTTGAGTGACCTTTCTCGAGATAAGCAATTGTTATGCAGTCAACAAAACACTCAGCACTTATCTATTGCTGGACTGTTTGCCCATATTAGGAATCATCGACGGTTCAAACCCAACGAATCCAGTCCGGTTTAAACAAGAGTATCAACGTTTATTGATTGAACACTTCCTAGTCCCGGGCTATCTGAGGTTTTTCTGTTTCAGTTTGAACAGCCATTACCATGCACTTTCGTGTGCCGGTTTTAGTTGCTGTCTTTTGGCTGCCCATTGGGATGAAGAATAAGACAAGAAAGGAAAGTTAAAAATGGATTCGAAAACAAAATGGAGAAATTCAGTGGTCTAAGGTTAGAAAGAAATTGAGGAGATGCACGAACGCCACTGTT